CTTCAATGTCGGCGCAGAGACGCGAGACCGCAACGACTTTAAATAAACCACCCAAATGTGATGAGTCCCAGTCTCAGAAATATCAACGACTATCATCGTAAATCAACTCATATAAATGGAGGAAGGCAGGGAACATACGGAAAATAGTAAAGTCCGGGTTCGAAAATCACCTTTATTTGCTACAAGTACCCATTTCATATACATTATACTTTTAATTGATTACCATATACCAATGCTACTGTGATACGGGAAAACAATGCAACCCTTGAAGAACTCTGGAGCTCGTCGGCTTCCTTACGTTCTTCGTGAACGCATTCAAAGGACTAAGGGTGATTTAAGCAGCTGCAAAAGAGCACGTCATGCTGCAATTCTCAAAGTCCATATTTTCAGTGATGGACCCCAAAGAGGAAGCCGTTGTCATGGACTTCTTGCCGAGTCCATATAAACGCGAGTGGCGACGAACTGACAAATCGTCGTATGTCATCATGGACGCTTGAATCTCTTCCTATTCACGGCAGCAGGCACTAAAATGAGCTATGCTAGCGTTCCCTTTCAAGCACCACAGTAACGTTCGGCTCCTCGTCCATTCAAAAGATGGTGAGAGGAGAGGGATTTCGCGATTTTCCGTCAATGTTGCTTCCCATTCCTTTCGTGAGACCACTTTGCAAGTTAATATCACTAAGGCACATCTTTGAATGACAAGGAAGGTTTCTGTTGAAAATTCATCTTCATATCTGGAGGCGTTTGCCTTGTAGAGCTGTCTCAAACACACACACACGCACAAGCACACAATTGTCCCTCGGCCCAGCTTGCGGTCATGATCGCGTACGCAATGGAATGAATTGCCATGATCTTCTGACTACCACCCAAGTAACACTCGAACGTATTCTATGAGATTTTCATTTAAGGAATTGCCAGCTTTCCATGAATTTCCATGGGAATGTTCTATTGACTGCATATATGTCCGAAATGTATAGCGATGAAAATAGTTCAATTTAGGCGTTCCTTGAAGGATGTGAATTCATAAAGGACGTGACTTGGATATTTCAAAGAAAAGAAGGGTTCCATTAACTTAATTTTTTTTATATGATTCACCCGGCATGCAATTAATACTTGTATTTTTCATGTTTTCATGTATTTTTCATCACTTTAATTGCATGCAATCTAAGAAAAGCCCTGCTCCTGTAACAGGAGAGACCATCATGTTGCCGTATAATCTGATAATAAGCGCTTTCTAACCCTTTTCCGCGATAAAACCGGTGGAGAAGCGTCGAGTAATAGTCATTTTACGTTAGCTTCCATTATATCTGCAGCTACATCATAATCGAAAGTCAGATAATGTCTGTATTTTTTAATAGAAGCAATGGAATGCGCTTTCGCTTTCTCCCATGAAGTCACCTTGAATATTGAACCATCATTCCTCCATTATTCGAACCAGAGTTTTCTGGAGACCTCCTGTGACTGTGTTACCTCTTAAAACAGATTTGTCGAGGAATTCAAATATCTCTCCCTCTGATGTACGGTAAACACCCCAGTTTTTGGCCCCCCCCTGATGCGATTCCCATAGGAAATGGATACCGTGTGCGCACACCGGGAAACACCAGTAATAGGTTCTCGTACGGGAAGATGTTGATGGAATGCTTGAAAACGGCCAGATTAAATAATTATGCTGGATTTAAGCCTGGCCAACAGCTGGAGACCGGGCAGAATCTGGGGTGCTTACCCTGTGTGGGAAAATGTCGCCTACTGTGTGGATGCCATTGGAAATTATTTCCAACTGTATCAGGAATGTACCCCCATTTGTGAATACTCTGGCGCCATCTGGCACCGGCTGTGCTAACCTTTGGTTCAAGCCATTGTCAAATGAATGTGACAAATGTGCTGAAGGGAAAAGTCTCTTCAACATTCAACGATTACCAATCAAATACCGCTTATTTTATAGATAAAATGGCATCTTAAATAAGGGCCAACAAGTTGTTCATCCATGTACAGTGGACGTCCATAATCCTCTTAGAAAACAGGTTGTATGTCCTACAGAATGACTTTGGTATTGTCATTTGTATAATGCCTGCTGGTCTCATTTCATGCGTGATTACCTTTGGCACCCGGTCACGTGAATAGAGTATTGTGTCAAGAAAGGAGAAGGAAATTAATTTAGTAAAATCTAGAAACCAAAATGAAAATTCAGTACTTAACACAACGATGTCACTTGTCAAAGTTCATTTCGTAATGTTGAACACTTTCCATGTGGCCCTCAGCACGTCAATAGAGCGTGATGCCCATGAATCAAAGGAAACAAAGCACATATTTCATATAGAGTTGTAGTTTGAAAGCATACTATGGTCGAGCGCCATTTCTCGGTCAGTTAGCATGGAACATTATGAAAATATTCTAAAATTCAGGAAGTTATGCAAAACCTGTATTGATAGAAGTCATGCCTGAAATGTTGCAATGGAGTAGACTAAAAGGAGCTTCATATTTGCCAAACAATTGTGACATTGCCATTCTCGTTAATATGGGCACCTCCTATCCGGAAACTTGGGAAATGACATCGTTTATGTTATTTCGTATTTACAGTGCCAATATAGTTTTACTCACTCCAGTAGGCATATAGGATACTTAGAAACAGGCATAATCTTTTTCACATGCTTCCATGAGAGTTAAACTCTACAGCTGAGCATAGTTTCTAATTCTGCTGGAAATATTATATGCCGTGATGAATATCTATTCCTTTACTTGCGTGGAACTATATGCATAATTGTCAATTGTAGTTTCATTCCAGGAGTTAATTTCGTTACAAACTAGCGTGGTTTTTGCTGTTTGCCTTCATTAACCACTTGAATGCCCTTTTAACCCCCAAAAGCCAGAGATTATGGGCGTGTGAAATAGTTCTTGCTTTCACAAATATCCAGCGTAATAATTAAAGCTCCAGTTGATCAGGATGGACGCTTGTTTGAAATAAGTTACTGTTGAAACTTTAAAATTGTGAATTATTTTCTTCATATTTTTATTTCAAACTTCACAGGCCAAATGCCGTTATCATGTTCTGATTCCTCAAGATGTACTCTATCACCATTTTGACTTAGCCTTTGTGGTTCGAGTCCTTCCTATTGATGTTATTCCGCTTCATTACTTTTCACTGTTCCACGACATAATGGGAAACTCTCAGCCTTAATGTGTTTAGCCTATCTTGTGCTATATTCCCTCAGGAATACCTCATCCGCAGTCAAGGCTGACAAACGAATTGTGCTGGCCCGAGAAGAGTACCCATACAACGCGTCCAAAATATTGCTGGGATGCACTCATTGCAGTTTCTGGAGGGGAAGTCAAATGCAGTGGTGCACTTATTGAACGGCAACTCATCTCCACTATTGCCTCCTGCCTTTCCGACATGTATAATTCATATTATTTGGTACTCCAGTGGATTATTTTAAAAGCGAACAAATTTCTCAATAAGGATGCGGTGGATATCTGTAAATTAATTTCCTCCTGGTATTGTTTCCACTTTAGGAAGAGTATGCCGTCAGCTCAACTACATGATACAGTTTTAGGAATAAGTTTGAGAAATTTTGTTATTGAAGCCCCGCCATCCGTTCAACACGGTTATTATTGTTAAAGCATTTTGAAATAAATGCAAGGGTAACTGAGAGAAGTTACTTCCTTTATTCGCATTCTTCGATGGTCTATATCCGATCCAGCATCTTAATAATATTTAATACAAAAATTTAAAATTTAGCACAAGGATGAATCTATTTTTTGGATCCTTGTTTCGGTATGAGGAAAGTAGAGAACACTCAGTCTGTACTAGTGCGTCTAACGGGGAGAGATTCATTTCTGGAAAGGAAAACGTGAAATATTTCGTGGAAAATAGATTTTCGGTTTAAAAAATTGGCAAATATGTATTCCTAAAATGCTATTTCCATTTAAATTAAACTTTTCTTGTGAAAACTAATTATGCATATGACCAATTGTTTAAAAAAATAAGCCACATCATAATTGTAAGCTTTATTGAAAAAGAACAGACTAGTCCATCATGTGAAACAAAATAAGAATAGTTTGAAGGCGAGATAAAAATGTATCACAAATGGGAGAGAAAAGGCTCATGAATAATACATAGTTAAGTTAAAGAAGCGTTTACATGGGCAAACGTGAAAATCGATTCATCCTTGGAATCCAGTGTATATGTACAACGCACCCGCATAACATAAATGGTTAGAAACCCATCAGAATGTGTCAGTACTTTACGAGAATCTGTAACTAACCCCTTCCTTCTTACTATTATGATTTTCGATTTTGTTGATTTACAGTGGAGGAAGGCAGGTCCAGTCTCTCTCAGTTCAAGTATTTGGGAGTTCTATTCGTTATTCCATCAAAAAACGCGTCAACCATTCAAAATATCAAGAAGAAACACTTTCGAACGACATTGCGATCATGATTCTTGAGAGGCCAGTGGAACTGAATGAAAATACTTGTATTCTTTGCACCCAGGAATTCCAGGGACATCAGGAATTCTCTCAGTGCAGACTCATCAGCCACATGAAAGGTACTCGCTTCTGGCAAAAAATATGGTAATTTTTATTCAGTAACATTGACCATATTATGGCGATGTTCTTTTTTTCGATGGAGATTGGCTGTTCCCAACACCAGAACCGGTAAGCTATTCCGCTTCGGTTGCTGATGCCAAGATTTGCAAGGAGAAACTCACTGAGGGCAGTGACCTCCCACCGAATTCCCTCTGCGTCACTTTCGCATCCACCTGGTGTGGGGAACCTGGCGCCCCTCTCATCTGTAAGGACTCTAACTATGGATTTTACTGGGTAGGTTTTCTTTGGGGCTACTCACATCCTTGCATGGAATACAATTTTTGGCTCTATTGAATTTTCCGCCTGAAATTTACTTTTAGTTGACTGGTCATTTGTCTATCCCAATTGGGACATGTCAAAGTAAAAGCGAGCCTGGGATCTTTTCCGATGCTTCCTCCAATTCATCTGCGTTTTTCCATGAGGATACTTACTCCTCGAACTTTCCTTCCAAAAGTCCCAATCGTCCTTCTCAACTCCCTCATCAACACTCTCATCACTCTCCTCACTCTCATGGCCACCCTCATGACCACTCTCATGACCACTCTGAAGGTAACTTAACATTAGATTCTTGCAACTTCGTGAACTGAAATTACTCCGTTGATCAGAATACAACTGGGGAGTGTCAGCATGTGAAACTTCGTTCATGCCATCCGCTTTTGCAAGAAGTGGTTTATATAATTTTGACTGATAGAAATTCACTAAGCGAATGTTAACAAATCGGAGTTATTCATTTGTCACATATTCCGTACCGCTCGGAACACTAACGTTGTTTGCAGACTTTCTGGACATATCAGAGAAGTAATTTATACAGGGTGGTCCAGAAGTCGCCCACCATCGGGAATTTCAATATTGTACTTTATAATCTGTATTTCCATTTAAATGATGGCAGCAAAATCAACACAAGACAAGAGGGTGTAACTAATAATCATAAATGGAATACATAGAATAATATTATTACTGTTCAACACATGGTGTGATATGTGGAATGTACTGGTTACCCTCTTTCATCTTGACAACACCCCGCGGGGGCTTTAGTGTGGCCCTTCATATGAAGGTAACGGGCACACGGGATGGAACTGGCCACCTCCCACTAGGTGGCGATAGGTGGCCCAGCTGAAGAACTTAGTCCATGGATGTGGAGGAGTTGCATGAGGCCCGAAAGGACGGCATTCTGCATGTAGCAGGCCAAAGAGTAAGCGTTAGATCTGCAGAGTTAGATCTGCAGACTGGTATCTCCTGCAGCTCTGCAATCACCGTGTCCTTCATGCTGCCAAGACATGCCACTATCAGTACGACAAGGTACACACGGTAGCCGGAATGTTGACCTCGAAGCCGGACAATAGATCTTGGTATTTCTCTCTCTCTTCCTCCTCCTTGAGGGAGATATTCCTCTTTTATGGGCTGGATAATTCGATCACAAAGATCTACTTGGCAGCCACATCAAGTAGTGTGATGTTCGGCTTCGTAGCAGGGTATTGTGTTGTCGTGGAGTGAACATAATTCCAATAGATTTGAACATTTGGACGCTCTACCACTGACTCCACTTCTGCAGGAACCCATGGGATCGTAGGATATTTGTCGATCCGATAAGCGTGCCTCAGATGGTAATAAAAGCACGCGCAGAGCGTTGTTGTGACGACTGATGTAAAGATTTGTCGCATAATACTCACAGCTAAACAACAGGTGGGAAAGAGTTTCTGGTACTCTACCGCATGCCCGACAGGTGGAATCTATGTCTTCCCCAAAGATGGTTCATCGGTACTCGAGAGTACTGATTACACTGTCCTGACTAGCAGCGATAAATCCTTTTGTCTCTGATCGAAGGCCGGCAGATTTCAGCCATGCATGGCTGAGAGTAGTGGAGAGACAAAGATCTTTTAAATTTCGGAAGAAACTTCCGTGCATGGTCTTCTCCTCATGGACCTGCAAAAGATGGGCTTGCTGGACCCTTGTTGTCGCTGCGCTAACATAGGCTAGCGACAGCTCTTTTATCGACCGATCCTGAAAGGTGCTACCAGTCTTAGTGATGTCTAGAGACAAAGACAAGGATTGCACTGCTCGCTCTGCAGTTTTCAACAGGAAAGCTTTGTTTCAGTGAACTCATGATAGAAAACGAGCTTCAGCAGTGGGTCCTCAGACTGAATCACCCTGTAGGCCATTCTCAGGGTTAAGCGGTCATGCAGATGCTCGAGGCTTAATAAACCCCGGCCTCCCCGATAACGTGGGAGATATATGCGCTGAACTGACGCCTTGGGGTGGTGGCTACGATTGGCGGTGAGGACCTTGCGGGTGACGATGTCGAGGTCCTTCAGTTTAGTTTTGGTCCACTTAAGGATGCCAAAGCTGTAAGACAGCACGGGTACTGCGAGCAAATTAGTAGCCATGATCTTATGGATTCCAGAGAGTTGGGAGGACCAGACTCTCTAGAGGCGCACTTTGTCCTTGCTGGTCATGGCCCTCTTGATGTCTAATACGCGATGATTTTTCCTTTCGGACAGGCCAAGGTACTTGTAGGGCTCAGATGGCGCAAGATGTTTCATGATCTTCTCATCTACGAGCTGGAGATCATCGCCTAGTTCAGTCCATCTGCCTCTATTCAGGTGTAGCGCAGCACATTTGTCCAACCCAAACTCCATACCGATGTCACAGGAAGAGTGAACTACTTCAAGAGCCTGTTGAAGTTGACCCTGGTTACGCGCATACAGTTTCAGGTCGTCCGCGACCCTGTGAGAGCGGCTTTTGGTGGGCTTGCCATATAGCCTGTCGTCTGCCTCAGTTGAACTGAGAGGGGCAAGACGGCCCTTGCAACCTCTCTGTTCGGAAAGCTCACGCCAGACTGGTGTTTTTTCTGACAATATGGTCTCGTTCAATACCTCTGTGAAGGTCTTGTAAAGGGTATTGAGGCAGGTAATTGACCTGTAGTTCTTAGGGTGGGAAGTGTCTCCACCCTTGGATATGAAAACAGTTCTGCCCTCCACCAGCTACGCTGGAATCGGCCGACTCAATTCCAGAATCTGATGCAAATTGCGAGCGATGTGGCAATGCGTCGAAGGGAACTTTTTCCACCAGGAGTTATTGATCCCACCGGGCCCTGGGGCGGAGAAGTTTCTTTTTCCTTTCAGGGTGGCTCGCACACATTCAGGTGTAATCGGAGGGCAAGATGGATCAGCAGCTTGTTTTAGATGGATGTCACAAAAGCTTTTGAACCGTTCTATCCATGATTTATCTGCATTAAATGGTTCCACTTTCTCATACAAGTCTTGCCAGAAAGACTGGACATCTGCCTACTAGTGGAAGTCGGTCATTGCGTGAGTGCCTTTCAGCTCTTAAGAAGGCAGAGGGATTCAACAGAAAGGTGCGATTTTCTTGCACACGCTGAATCCTTAGCAGCAGTCGCTTCCTCGCTAGGGATGAGTGCGAAGCCTACTGTATCTATATAATGATGTATAAGGTTTGTCAGCTTGGACAGGCTTTAAGAGTGATGCTGACTTCTTAACATGACTGTAAAAGCTACCATAACTGAAGATCTCGGTTTGACGGCCCTACGGGTCTTATTCATCACTTCCTGCACCCTTGACAATTTCTGGCGGGTACCTTTAATTTTTGTGTCCAGTTGCTTGACACGATTCAAGTGCTTATTACCTTCTGCCCGCTATGTCTCTCGAGAAGGGATCAGAACCTATGCTGCTGCATAAACTGCACAGTTAATATCCCAGAGGTCACTTCCAGCATGCAAGTATGATGACAAGATGGAGTCCATCTTCACGAGATGGTGCTGTGGAATGTGCACTTTTCTATGAATTGATGTTTTTCTGTCGTCTAGGGTTGACTGTTTGACAGCATATAGAGCAGCAAGAAATTGTTCCTGGAGTACATAGGATGTTACTTCAGCTGCAGTTGCCATCGATGGAATGGCTTCATCAGGTGGAACGAAATTAGTAGTAGCGACCGCAACTGATTAGGCATCTGGTGTTCTTGAAACCGGTTTGTCTTCCTTACTCTGGGACCGAAGGAGGTATCTGGCTTGGTCTCAAAGATGTTGTTTCGAGAAATGGCTCAATGTTTGGTGTCCTGCGCTCCAACTCCAGTGGAGTCTGGCCATATAACCCCTACGATCGGGCTCTGAGGATTGATAAAGATCTAATAAGTCACGCCTAATTTCTGTAGTCTATTGCATCCGTCCGGAATGAGTGCTTTGGGCGAGGGCACTGAGGGCACTTCAAGAGAAGCATCATGCCCATTGTGGGCGGCCCTGGCATCTTGATGTTCTGACACCATTGAATAAATCGGCATGGATAGTCAATCAATATCCGGTGGTACAGTGGTACAATAAACAACAGCTGCCGCGGTCCTTTTTATCCTGGGCGCCGACCGAGCCAGTATGAATATTGATCTTTGTCTTTTTCATTATACTTTGGATACAGTTTAACGTCATGTCCAGGGCAACTATTATTATTATTATTAAAACAGTCCAATTGTGAAATCCGCAGTGGTGCGCGACTTCTGCACCACTCTGTAAATGATTCAGTTCCCGAAATAAGAGTACCTCTACTGGGGTGCCGCGGCGGATGATTGCATCATTTTCCACACTCTTCCGGCATTGCAATAATTCGATGTACCTATAGCACCGTGATATTTTTTGCAGTTGCTGATGAGAGTCGTTGTCCAAAACTTGTAGCAATTGAATATGGAACCCATAGAATAGTATCCTGCCCAAATGGATGGTGAGAAATCTGAATTCCAAGCAAATTTTCCATTAGACTCAACGTAACTCCTAACAGTTGCGGCGCAATAATTTCGCAAGTCAGTTTCTTGTGCAAAATTAAAGAGAACTCTCCAGAGACCAATCATACAAATCTCACTGAATGCTTACAAAATGTCGACGGAACCCGGGTCATAAACACATACAATCAGTACTTTAAAATACGTCAATCAACCTCTCTAATATCTAAACCCGATGGACTGTGGAAATAATAACGTCCTGAAACAGTTTCAATGAAAGAATGGATTTTTTCCGAGCCATATAACAAAATATTCCAATCACGCATGGCATTCTTTTAATTTTGCTTTGTTTCATTGCCAAACAATTGGAATAATCTATATCAATTGTCTCAGGTACGATATCGATACATATTGTTTTCGTATCATCCAGAAAATCGATCAAATCTACTTCTTTAGGCCCTACGATATTAAGGGAATTTCAAGAAAAGTACAAAGTGAAGGCGCTTGCAGGGACCGTGTTGAAAGTTCTCCTTATTACTCAAAATCAACCCAGCCTATTTCTTTCCTATGAAAATCCGAGCCTTACATTTGACCGAAGGGAATTGATAGCAAATGTTACCTATTCCCTTCGATACGGAGCATTCAGACCGAAAGGAGTCAGAACTATTTGGCACTTATTTCCTTAGGTCGAAGAAGCAAAGTTCATCAACCTCGCTTCACATTAGCCAAAGAATCGGCATGAAAATGTTCTTCATGGAATAGCTCCACTATTACCCAATTCTATACACATGCTTATATTTTTCTTTCTAATGGCCAATAGAGACGTTGAGTATTGAATAGGTTATTTTTGGCAGAAATCGGCTGTAAAAGGATATCAATGGGTATAAGTGTACATTGACAGGTGGTATGAAAGCCCTAGACATGTGTCTTCCCCTTATGAATTTTTCTCCAAGCACTATGGAATGGATAAATGGATACCGTGCCCTACCTCAATTGCCGGCATGCCTGAAAAATAAAAAAAATTGATGAGGTGGAATATATTTCTCCTCGAAAATGAGGAAGGCTTCCGTATACGAGGCCTGTTCTGAAAGTTCTTAGTTACGTCATATATAATGGTACAATTAAAAAATTTGCATTATCAGGCGAAAGGACAATCCATTCCCGAACGTTTCCGAAGATAGCCGAAGTCTTATCATCGGTCTATAAAAGCGGCAGACGCGATTAAAACTCATCACTTGCAAGTGATTGCTTGCAAGTGACTGCTTCACCACGACAACGCACCGCGCGACAACGCACCAGCGCACAGTGCCGTTGGGGCATTGGACTTTTTACACCAATCTGGTGTCAAACTTTTTGAGCCATCCATCTTACAGTCCGGACCTGGCCCCTTGCGACTTTTTTATTTCCAACAATAAAAAACCCAATGCGGGGAATGACATTTTTGCGTGCAGATGCAATCGTCGCAGAATTCACGAGCCTGTTTGAGGACCTGCCAAAAGAAGCATTTTCAATTTGTTTTGACAAATGTTTTCAAGGAATGAATAAGTGAATTAGTGTTGGGGAAGACTACATTGGAAAACAATAAATAGAATTCAACAAAATTATTGGCCTTTTTTCTTTCACTAAAAACTTTCAGAACAGCCCTCATATTGGTTAAAATCCCATTGAACTTTGTGGAAACCTGAAAAATCCATGCCATAAGTCACGCAAATATGCAATGATGGCCAGCATGAGCATACATACAGGAATATGGCTAATTGAAAAATTCAAACCTTAATTGTGACTTTTTCTGCTTGTAATGCTGGTTAGTTCCCTTTTCATTTTCTTGTGTAAGTGATGGCATGACGGTATATTGATCCAAATGCAACTTTTCATGTCTAGAATGTGGGGAACGAGTGATACTGTTGACGCGCTCAGCTGGCGGAAGGCCTGCGGCCATTGGAAAGTGGCCTTGGCAGGCAGCCATTTATGACATAAAAAAGGAAAGTATAGTTTGTGGAGCGGCTCTTATTCACAAGAGATGGGTGCTCACTGCGGCTCACTGTATCACCATCGATGGATCAGAGAAAGCCCGGAAAGAGGATGACTTTTTAATCTATCTTGGGAAACACTATCGAAATGACGCACAGGATGATGAATTGGTGCAGAAGAAAAAGGCAATTAATGAACCCTGTGATATCCCCTTGACAACTCATTTCCGTTTCAATTTGTTAAATGTTACACTTGCAGGTATCCCGCATTTTCCTCCATGAAGACTTTAACAGACAGAACTTTGACTCCGATATTGCACTCTTGGAACTGGCAGAAGATGCCACGTTAACAGAACGAGTGCAGTTGGTTTGTCTGCCAGAACACTCAGATATATCTGATACCAGCTCCAAGAGCGGATTGCTAGGATCGGTGAGACATGAAGGATTCTGTACGTATATGTGAAGTAGATTTTTGTTTCATGGACTTATCCAAATGGTTCGTGGCAGGTGGCTGGATGGGGTTCAGATGACACAGGTGTCCTCCCGAATGTACTGATGGAAGTGGAGCTCCCAATTTTATCTAATAGAGAATGTCGTAAAGACACTATTCACTTCACAGGGGACCAACACGTCACTAGTACCCTCACTACGAATTTGTATTGTGCCGGGTATGACAGAAGCACACCCCTTTCAGGTACTGTTTCAACCAGCAATGAAAGCGTAAACTTCCTGATTTATTGAAAACTTGATTGTAACTAGAGTCTCCAGGGAGTCGCCGCCGTAACGGAGCCGTTTCTCTGTAGACCCAGGGTTCAGTATGAAGATACAATGTAAATAAATAGGCATTTTAATCATCATATGTATGCTTCCAACATATATGGTCTTCAAGAGTGCCGAAATGGGCATATTTCCAAAAAATCCTTCAAATCGCTTGCTCCCAGTTGAGAACATGAGCAATAATTGAAAATTGCCTGTGGAATGGGAATATGAAAGAATTAACAATGGTAGTTTCAGGAGGGCACAACCTGAATCTCTACATCCGCCGCAATTCGTGAGCTGTTATTACCCTTCGCATGAATCAAGATGGACTTAATCCTTTCCCCTGAAGGGGAACACCCATAACATACTGTAGTATATTTCTTGGTAAGCGTGTAATTTTAAGAACTCACATTCCAAAAAAACTCTAACGATTAGGACACTGCTCGCTCTTTATAATATTTTATGTTAGGGGGGGTAGAATGGAGTATCCTGAACATACTTTCCTATTGCCAAAATCATAATTCTAGCTATGTATGAAACTTAATACACGAAGGAAAATTTACATAAGATTATGTTGAAGAGTGTCAATTACGAGAAAACCAACAGTGGGAAAACTCATTTTCCTCTTTGATAATAAGAACAGTGATGCATTGATACGTGCCCTGCCTCGGTCAAAGCACCTAGAGTGCCAGCGGCCTAGACAGAACGAACTATAGGTAATGTCGTGATACTTATCTTTTTGTCTCTCAGAAGACAAACACAGGTATTCTAGTGAGTCGATATCTAATACTTTCCTTTCTGTCGATATCTAGGCGTAGTGTGATATACCTCCAGTATTCATTTACATAATTTGTTATTGAATATTATCCACTTCACACAGTTTGCTACATGATGTCATAAGACAAGACTTTCTTAAGACAAGACACTAGAAACTTATTTAGCATGATAGGTTTGGGGCATTTTTTTCTCAAGACGTCGGGGAGGTCTTGGATGTACGGATTGAACAGCAGAAGGAACAAAGCACAACCCTGACAGACACCACTTAAGCACTTGAAATCGTCGTTGCCGTCGAAGTCTACTGCCGCTCTCACTTCGTTGTAGATACTCTATAGCAGGAGTCGGGAACCTCTTCAGCCTTGTGAGCAATATTAAGATTGAGCTAAGTGACCGCGAGCCAAGGATTTTTAAAACAATTTTTTCCTGAAGTTGGCAAAATACTTGCACATTCCTTGGCGCATGAGCATTATGAGGAACAACCATGATTTTTAGCCATAACCCATGAGCCAAAATGTTCAGCTCCTGGCATAATTTGTCTCATCACCCATAGGTTCCCGACCCCTGACCATTTTCTGTCCTTTCTTTTGCATAGGGTAAATGGGACCAATTCTCCAGGCAAAGAGACATGACTGCAGTTGGTAGATTTTGTTGAATAGGGTAACGTGGGGGTATATGCCCATTAGGGTAACATGGCCCCTCCCTTACTGACTGAATTGTTCGTTTGAGGGATTTAAAAAATAGCCTTATTTAAAGTGCATGCAATTGTCGAAAAGTTAGACCCGTTCATTGATCCAGTTCTCAAAGGAATTCCGAATACATCGATGCCATGAATGTCATATGCCTGTGATTCTTTAACTCATTACTTTGAAACTAATATGAGCCTTGAGCAACTTCAAAGTATATTTCCTAATGGTAGCATGGATGAAGAACCATTTCTTTGAAGTTCTACTGTCCCTCCAGAATGCTTGTGCAAAGTGCTAACCCCTACACTTGCGGTTGCAGACAGTGTTGTCAATTTTGTCATGCAAGTCATGTCATTTCATTTTAGCACCGCACCGATCTATCAGTAGTGTCAGCTTCCGTTCATGTGGGATCTCAGGCTGGGAAAGATCAGCCAATGCACTTCCTCTAGATATATGGATAGACGTACTGCACATCCGGACAAAATATGCAGTACCTCGTACATGAGGAGGCCGTGCAATGAAGACATGCTCATGGACCGCCTCCTAGACATCCGGTTCGACTGGCACGGAATTTGAATGCAATTAAATATTCGTACAATACGTTATTAGGGATTCCTGTGACATTTTAGACACTATTTATCGATACATCCAAAAACTACGCAACGTTTTTCCTGCAATGTGAGATCACTTATTGTATACTCCTAGCTCGTGTTCACTTTAATATGTGATTGATCACACCTCTCACACCAAGAACTTCTTGATACAAGGTTCCAGTCACGAGCAATACTATTTAAAACCGAAAGCGTTGTAATCCTGATTTTTACAACAGGTCCTTGAGTCGGATAATAATGCCTGCACCTTGGTAGTCCTCAATGCAATTAATTATGTATGTTTTAACTGCTCAGCCTCCCTTATTATGCTTTAAGGTACTCAGCATGTTCCAGCATATGTATATGTTCACATGTATATGAAAAACCTATAGTTGTTTTTTTAGAAGTGGCCATATTCCCTCAATAACAACGGTAAGGGGGCCTCTTGGGATCAACTTAGTAAATAAAATGTGAATCAGTATTTTAGAAACACTGTAAATGTCAAATTGGACATTCATGGACCATTACGACCAGTTTTCATTTTGTAGTGCCATATTCCCCCAAATTTACCTTATGCTAATGATGATTTGAAGTACAGGTTTATTTATGGCTTTTTTAAAGAAACCTCCATTGAAACCATTAGTTCCTAGTGCAGATCCCACTTTTCTTCATTGTATAGCCTGTTTCACTTCATTTTCCGACTATTCATTGTTAATCGTTCCGTCCTAATGTAAAATAGGTACTTGGTTCATGGTGATCCACCCAGGTTTGAGTAGAACTTATGCCATTCCTCCGTTTTGATGGGGGATTTCGAGCCATATTATATTTTGAATTTCTTCCAAAGCTGTTGTTCGTCCTGGGATTGAAGTGCACTCAGTAAGGAAACTTTTTCCCTTGCCTTATCCTCTTTCCTCTTTGACCGAAGAAGAGATCTATATCATTCTCGAACCTCCCGCAGTTGTTCGAAGGCTTCGGGATATTGTTTTACTCGGGTATTACGAAGGGTTCCCATAGTCACTCTTTTCAGACGGGTGCATTTTGTGTCAAACCAAGGGTGGTGAGATAACGAAGGATCCCTGCAGTTTACCTGTTTCTTGAAGGGGGCATAAACACTCGAGAATGCACTCATCGATTGCGCAAAAGCTTCCATCGATGTCCGATGCTAAAATAAGTTGTCTAGATGTTTCCAGAAGTCTTTTGTTTCTTTCAGAGCACCACATTTGAAAGGAATGTGGTGGCAGCAGTGAGGTCGTATAGATAGCGAGCGCGTCCCTTAATTTCGCTTAGCATTTGTGTCCGCTCGTGCTAGTGTAGTCGGCTTTTGCATCCACGAAGTAGACAGCCATGAAGCTTCATTCCATTCTATGAAAAACGCAAAGCTTTAGTAGTTGTCCATAAGGGAAGCTAAGAACATTACAATATGAGTGACCTCCCCCCTTTCTCTATCCGATCCCACGCGTCCATTTGCTATTCGGTTTCTTGTACATGCACATGTGTCCAGAAATTATATTCCGCGTGCGTTGACTTCATATTTGTCCTTATTGGCCCTGCTCAGTATTCCTTTATCCTCTGTGCATTGCCTAAGTTGGGGAAGATAGTTTACTGAATCCAAAGAGATGTAGTCGTTATCTATATCTAAAGATGTAGTCTCTCGTGTACGCGCTGAGGTCCTCGACAACAATGACATGACTATTACGATAGTTCTATGCTGGCAGATGTCCTCTTTGAGTTAATGAAATAAGCTATCATCTGCAAATCCAGAGTTTTGAGGGGGGAGGTAGACAATCTCGAGGATGGTGTCGTGATTAGCATGTGTGGTCTTGCAGGGGAGGATGAGGGATAAAAAAAAAATATGCAGAGTGGGAGGAAACTTTTTCACTCCTTCGAATGAGATTCTAACCCAGGCAAGTAGTCCCTTTTCCGGAGTCCCTCAGGGATCGGGATGGTTTTTGGGTGGAAGCAAACACATTTAAACCCGTCCATTGTGCATTGATTTTCTGCTTGGGCCCTAAGTTTCGCGGAGGCAGATTGTATCGAAAGCACGTAAAATAATTTTAATTTGAGATGTCACTGTTGCCAAAAAATGTTGGTGTCAAACCAGTAATGTTCTAGGAGACGAAGCTAGTTGCAGATGGAGCTGAAACTGAAGAATTTCCCTCACCACACCATGCCACTTGTAATTGCTACTTCTCTTTCTGTGATTCACCTCTCTGGTTAGTGGATTATCTGTCGGTTGCCCAACAGGTGATCAGATCGGCGGTGTCATCTTCCGTCTGAGCCAGCCTCTTCAGATGCGGAGCGAGGGGGAGATGGTTCATGGTGGGTACTATGATGTTAAAGGGGGTCAACATCACTGTTGTCGGCATCCAATGTAATTTAATCACTTCTACGTCTTCAGCCCAGCCTTTCTACTAGAATACCATTTTTAAGTGAATTGACTGAGCACTCAACGAACAGCTCAACGATCAACGATCATCAACGATCAACATGATCATTTTAAGTATGCTCGTTGGTCGTTTCGAATGGCGGAAGGGGCGTTTTTTAGATTTATCCTTCCCTCTTGTCTTTCTTGTGAAGTCAGGGGAGATAAAAATATATTTGGCTTTGTGTCGTCTGGCAGCGACGAGGATCCTTTCGTTGTCCTTGAAATGGGAGAGATGTACCAGAATAGGACGTGTAGTCCTCTTCTTTTTTTAATCCAGATGGAAATCTGTTGGAATTCTATCCGTACATTAAAAAGGAGATTACCCTTTATGATGTTTTTGATTTGGTTTTCGCGTGCTTCATGGAGATCTTTCGCATCGTTTTCAATGACTCCATTGGAATTTCAATTTTGGCTTCGAATTCCACTTCGAATTCAAGGCGATCAATCATTAATTCTTGTTGGTTTGGCTTAGTTCTCAGTTCTTAATTTTTCCCGTAAGGTTAGCGTGTTCATTTCTACGGTAACCCAAAATATTAGTTTGCCGATTTGATGGATTCTCTGAGATTCTTATCTAATGCATGAACTATATGCCCATTCCTAGAAGGACGTTTTCTTCCAAAGTGATATTGAGCGGTGTCAGTGGAACCTCTCTTTCGACTGTCTCAATGCGTCTCTCGCCTTGGATTGGGGTCAGGAGAAAACGTCCGCTAAATAGGGTTACATTGTATTTGTATAATTTGAACCGGTAAGGATACACTCCACTAATGATGAGGACGGTGCAGATGATAAGAAACAGGTGTCTCTCACGGCAGCGGCTGGTGTGTTCATTTAGTATACATGCCACATAAAAAAGGAATCCCAATGATATTCTGGTTGATTTATTCTTCTCTCATGGAGAAAATTATTCCAAGTCACACTTCACTGACAACAATAAATGCGAGGATATGGATGACTTTGGGGTGTATACAGTGGCTCACTTATACGTTTGCGATGGATAATTTCCTTGAACAATAACAGAGCCACTGTTGGTGTGTTCCTGCTTGGCGCCATCTTGGAACCTCCCTCCTCTTTGCTAAACATACCTACACCAGTGATATAAATTTCTTTCCAGCCTATCAAACAGTCTGCCAAGGAGATTCGGGGAGTCCAATGGTTCTACAAGATGAACACGATGGACGCTGGACCGTTGAAGGGATCGTGAGTCACTTTTTCAACAAAAGACAATCATGCTCCATGAGTGGTCCTGGTCAGTATGCCATCTTCACCAAAATCAATCGGTATAACCCGGATTTATTTCACTATTTCCTTTAACCGTGCTTCCTGATCCCTCATGATATATATTCAAACCGAAATATGTTCATCTTCCCCGCATCAGATTCATTCACTGGATAGAACATAAAATCGAAATGACGCATTGAAGACCCCAGAAGTCCTCGATCACGTCCGTCATTATCCTCGCCCAAAATCCCAGCAGAAGCCTCCAGGGCTCATCCTCGGGCCTCGACGTACCAGTACATAGTTTTCAGGTGCCAGGAGTAGAAACTCTAAGAAATTATGGAATAGAGGTATTTTAAAGGCATCTTGCAATGACACTCCGGAACCCAGGACATATTTTGTGGAAAATCGTTCGCCTCGTGATTTCCTTCATTCATTCCATGTTGCTTCCAATCGAAAGGCTTCCTTTGAATATATCAGGGAATGTCGGAAAATAAAGTCAAACAATTTTTTTCTTCAATGAATCTGTATTGTACTCAAAAACGGTATATACAGAATAAAATATGCTGTACTTTCTTATTTCTCCTGCGGTGGCGTGGATGAGAAGTCACTGTAGACATGAAAATGAAATCGTTTCCGAAAATATACAATGATGTGGTATGCCACCCATCATGAGGATTACTAGGTGAAAATTCACATTGCGTCATTTAGAGTTCTTATTGTGAATTTAATTCCTTCTTATAGTCAGTACGGTAACCGCAATTGCGCCGTATGCGCCTAGAAGTTGGTCCTCGAACGGACGCCACGTTCCATGGAGGAGAGCTCCAGGGTATCTGAAATGAATTCGTACCTAATTTTGAGGCTATTTCTATAACGCATTCAGGGAAGTGAGGGTATATTTCTTGTGTTGAAGTAGGCCTTTGAAACCCAAGTTGAAGGTGGTATGAAGCCATTTGTAGAAATCGTATTGACTAATACCTCAATTCATTTGCTCACGGGAGCGGGATTGCGATAGAGAGCCAGGTCCCTAAAGGACATGTTAGGGTTTTTCACTTTTTTTTCCACCTGATTCGGGACACTACCGAGTGGGGAATAACCTAGTCATGAGTGTCCAAGTCGAATGAGAATCGTCATGCTCGAACGAAAACCGCTAAAGCATCCTTCCAAATTAAGTCGTGGCCACAGGCCAAGGGCAAAGTCTCAGTAAACGCATGTGCGTGCCTTCCCGGAACATTTGGAAATCGATGCAAAAGAATATATCCATCCATTTATTCGGCCGCATTCATCTTGGCATGGTGGGTTGTGACCAGAAATATGGTAAATATACCTGGACTGGACATGGCGGTCGAAGATCATGCACCGATTTGAAGGGCTGGCGGCCATAACTGATGGCGTCGACAAAACGATAAGGCGTGGTATTCACTGAGGCTCACGGTTGTCATGGCCAATGTGTTCGGGCTCCGGATGCCATGAAAGACAGTTGAATGGGTCTGGTATCACGTCTTACAATAGTGACTTGGTCTTCATCGCAATTGACCCTTTAGATCTAACCTTAGATCTTAAGGTCTAACCTTAGATGTGAGGAATTTTTCTTTTCCCCCATGTAGATCTTGAGCCTAACTATTAATACATAGGAAACTGATATTATTAAGTGCAATGAGCATAAAGACGATATCCACTCATCAAAGACTGAAAAGGTCGCATCAATCAAATTTAAAAATACGTCACTGAAGTATAGTATGGTCTTCGCGGAGATCGTAAAAAAATCTCAGTTTTGTGTGACGTAATGGATCGGAAAGCTATGCTTTCATTGTGCGACTCGACTCCATGAGCGATGACGGCCAATCCTTATAATAGGCGTGCGACTGCTGGACGTTCTCCTTTTGCCAATCAATTCCAGGTATATTTACTATTGTCTCTGGATGCGACCCATTAGCAGCAATTTTTCCCGCGTCATTCCAATCCAATAACCTCATTGATGAATCCTGCGTAGTTCCAGGGCCAAACACCATGGCAGAAGGTTTCCCCGAAATCAAAGGCACCACCGTAGAGTGGCCAGTCTTCTTAGTATGAGGTTATGAGTATTGAGAATGTTGTTGACCTCAAGTTGATGATGATGTCAGAACTCGAGGTAACAAGACGTCACAATCATGAATGCCAAAAACCCAAAGGGTTTAATAATTATAGGTGATAAAGCCGAAGGCGCTCATCTCACAAGAATTACCCTGCTTTCATGCGTCTCCACGTCTCATTTTTCTATTTTGAGTTTTGATTAGCTAGCTAGTATAATAATACTGCTGCGAGTTATTCATCCATTAATTCCTCGTCAGATTCATCGCATTTGAATGAGAATCAAATGATTGAGAATGATTGAGATGAGAATAATATAAAATTTCCACGAAGTTTTCGTTGTCTTCTCGCAGATCACAGCAAAGCGTTCATCGGCAAAAGACAACCAGTCTCCTATCAATGCTGGCGGGGAAAGTAGTTCCAGGTTCGATTATTGGAGGAATCGGCAGTTACGTCATTTGGAATAAGCAGTATGGGCACTTAATGAAAGAGCAATGAAATATCTTCCCCTGCAAACCGTGGGTGTCACTTGACGGCATTTTATTCCCATTCTTGCATACGATCCACGATACGATCGATACGATCGATACAATAGTCTCCGCCCGTCGCATCTGAACGCTAACAAAATCAAGGAATTTCATGCCGCGGCAATTGCTGTATCGATTGCATGAGAATCAGATTTCACCTATTGATAAATAGTGTAAGTCCAACATCTCCATGACTGGTCGGTCTCAGATCAACGATTTAAATCAGGGAAATGCAAAGACCTCATCATCCCCAATAATGGATTCAACTCTCCTGGTGCTGAATAATCGTCACCAAATTTTAAATGGTGAGATCATTCTTCAGGGAATGAATCATATATATCGGCATAACAACCGATGATCGTCTCGAAAAATTAAGAAGTAATACGTTCATCAAGCTGATCATGCAGGAATCACTGTTACTTCTTTGAAGGTACTTCTGATTGGTTCCAACTAGTTGGCTAAATCATTGAATTTCAATTGATCTCGAATCTCATTGAGAGTAGCAACCCGGTGCTACGAACGCCGGGAGTCGCATGAAATTCGAACGAAAACTTACTCGACATTTAAAAAATTGACATTGAGAGTTTAGAATTCATTTTAAGAATTAGAACTGTCGAAGGAATCTTTGACAGAATATACCGATTGCATTTCTGTTGGCATTCCAAAGTTACTTCCTCAGTACTACTTTCCACATGCTTAGAAGTACCATGACATCACAATGAACGTCTACCAAAATCTAGTATGTTTCCTAGGAGTCTGGAAAAGCAGATAGCAAGCATACGATGCAACAATGGTCATCTGATGTACGAATGTAATTGAGCGCAGGTGTAAAAATTACCGGAAGGGAAATTCTTACTTATAATTTAACGGAGGAACGCTTCCTACAACATTTGACACGAGTCAAAAGAGGTTCTGAAACTTTCCAAGTTTCTGGATGAGCAGCTTTCAGTGAAGGCACCATTTAATCACCAATATCCAATGTTTCATGTCGTTACGGAATGATATCAGTAAAAAGTTGAACTGAACGTTTTCTTCTGGAGCACAAATGGCTTCTTGGTCGGGGCATCGGAGCAGAAAACTGAAAGTTAGTCTAAAAGCCTTAGTTTTACCGAAGCGTGATAACGCCTGAGTCACCGTG